AACTAGAAAAAAATACATAACAACTAGAGAAGCTTTGTCCTTTGGATGGGGGTATGGAGAAGAAAAGCTTGCTCACGGGAGGCAGGATGACTATTTCAGCATTTTTACTTTATCATTAATTATTCATGACCTTGAGAGACCCACTTTGGACCTCACCTGAAGAAAGGAGAGATTTGGGCTAGTCAGTCTCTAAAATCCCTTATAGTAGTGATGTTCTAAGTTTTGCCCTTCTCTGGTTAAATACACTTAACTCCTTCTGTAACCATATGTACTCAATTAAAAAATTCCCAGTCCTTTGTCCCTTTCCAGATACTCCTCACTTTCCAATGGTTTAATCTTACGTGAATCTCCAACATGAATTATTTCCACACTTTTATCTTCGTCTTCAGTTGGAAGGCCAAGAGCTGTGTACAGTACAGTCAAGAACACACAGGATTACCTCATGCACTCTCTTATCCTATTGTTTTTCTTCTGGTCAGTGAACTTTTTAAGCACATAATTGTGTACTTCAAATGTATCTGTGTCTCTTGGAAGAATAAACAATGTTAAAATGTCTATACTGCCTAGAGCAATCTATACTTTTAATGCCATTCCGATCAAAATTCCACCGGTATTTTTCAAAGAGCTGGAGCAAATAATCCTAAAATTTGTATGGAATCAGAAGAGACCCCGAATTGCTAAGGAAATGTTGAAAAACAAATAAAACTGGCGGCATCACGTTACCTGATTTCAAGCTTTACTACAAAGCTATGATCACCAAGACAGCATGGTACTGACATAAAAACAGACACATAGACCAGTGGAACAGAGTAGAGGACCCAGATATGGACCATCAACTCTGTGGTCAAATCATCTTCGACAAAGCAGGAAAAAATATACAGTGGAAAAAAGACAGTCTCTTCAATACATGGTGCTGGGAAAATTGGACAGCTATATGTAGAAGAATGAAGCTCGACCATTCTCTTACACCGTACACAAAGATAAACTCAAAATGGATAAAAGACCTCAACGTGAGGCAGGAATCCATCAAAATCCTAGAGAGAACATAGGCAGTAACCTCTTTGGTATCAGCCACAGCAACTTCTTTCAAGATATGTCTCCAAAGGCAAAGGAAACAAAAGCGAAAATGAACTTTTGGGACTTCATCAAGATCAAAAGTTTCTGCACAGCAAAGGAAACGGTCAATAAAACAAAGAGGCAACCCACAGAATGGGAGAAGATATTTGCAAATGACAGTACAGACAAAAGGTTGAGATCCAGGATCTATAAAGAACTCCTCAAACTCAACACACACAAAACAGATAATCATGTCAAAAAATGGGCAGAAGATATGAACAGACACTTCTCCAATGAAGACATACAAATGGCTATCAGACACATGAAAAAATGTTCATCATCACTATCCATTAGGGAGATTCAAATTAAAACCACATTGAGATACCACCTTACACCAGTTAGAATGGCCCAAATTAGCAAGACAGGAAACAACGTGTGTTGGAGAGGATGTGGAGAAAGGGGAACCCTCTTACACTATTGGTGGGAATGCAAGTTGGTGCAGCCACTTTGGAGAACAGTGTGGAGATTCCTCAAGAAATTAAAAATAGAGCTTCCCTATGACCCTGCAATTGCACTACTGGGTATTTACCCCAAAGATACAGATGTAGTGAAAAGAAGGGCCATCTGTACCCCAATGTTTATAGCAGCAATGGCCACGGTCGCCAAACTGTGGAAAGAACCAAGATGCCCTTCAGTGTATGAATGGATAAGGAAGATGTGGTCCGTATACACTATGAAGTATTATGCCTCCCTCAGAAAGGACGGATACCCAACTTTTGTAGCAACATGGACAGGACTGGAAGAGATTATGCTGAGTGAAATAAGTCAAGCAGAGAGAGTTGATTATCATATGGTTTCACTTATTTGTGGAGTGTTACAAATAACATGGAGGACATGGGGAGATGGAGAGGAGAAGGGAGTTGAGGGAAATTGGAAGGGGAGGTGAACCATGAGAGACTATGGACTCTGAAAAACAACCTGAGGGTTTTGAAGAGGCGGGGGGTGGGAGGTTGGGGGAACCAGGTGGTGGGTATTATGGAGGGCACGTATTGCATGGAGCACTGGGTGTGGTGCAAAAACAATGAATACTATTACACTGAAAAGAAAAAGTATCCGTGTCTCTCAAACCTTCACTGATTGAGATGAAGGTGAGCAGAGGTGACCATGCCCGAGTTTATACCTTCCTACCCCATTACACCACAGCTCATTTTATAGGACATAGTCGTAATTTGAGCATGATTTCTAAAATACATTATTGAAATGATAAAACATAGTATATAACCTATGTTTGGAATTTGAATAAATAATTTTTTCCTTGTGCTACTATCAACACTATAGCATTGGAAGTAAATATTCTGCTAATATTGAACCCAATTGGCTTTTGTTTTCACCTGGGTAAAAACTGAGAAAGCCAGAAAACTCTGTAGTGTTATCCATATAAATCTACATTTGCACTGGGTATACCAAATGTGTCTTTTAAAGGTCTGCTTTGATTGCAAGATTTCAAAAATGTGTATTACTCTGTGGTGAGACATAAAATGAGCCATCAAAGTCAGCTTGTCTTGGGTCTTATGAGGCCCGATGTCACCATATATAAAGCTACCTGCTACAGTTTAACCCAGTGTGGTCACATTATATTACTCCCAAAAGTATTCCAGTGAATTGTGGAAAAGCTAGAGTCAAATATTAGCCAATATTTTTCACAATTTCCAGCACAGGAAGTCCTTCAGGGATCCCATATATTCAAAAAGAGAAAATAATGTTGTTTGAAACAAAGCGACAACATTATTAAGAACTTAAAGTAACTTGTAATTAAATAAGTGCCAATGAATGGAATTCACAAAGGGAGTATAAAGGAAGGCTTTTCATTTTATACTTTATGGTGCATTTATGTTTATTACTTTTATTTGAATTTTTAAAATGAGATATTTAAAGATCCTTTTAGTAAAAACTTTTTCTTTTATAAGGTAGCACTTTTAACCCACAGCTGCTACGTTTTCTTCTAGCGTTTAAACCATAGAATATGCTTTGAGACAAATTTAACAATTTTGGTTACTGATAGTTGAATTGAAGGAAGAGACATTATTGTACAAATCTGAAGAGTTTGCCCTCAGCAGGCTGTCAGAGAAGGAGGTTGGTAGAGAAACATTTTCTCTTCTCCATTTGTATCAGTTTTTGCTGCACAATACAGCTCCCCCTAAATGAGTGGCAGTAGCCATTTGTTCCTGTTCTGTGGATCATGCATTTGGTTTGGCCTCAGCTGGGCAGTTCTGTGGTCTGTGTCAGGTTTGGCCAACCTCAGCTGGACTAACAATGTGGCTGAGGTCAACCTCGAGGTTGGCTGGGAATGAGTTAATCTAGGCTGCTCTCTGTTGGAACCATTGACCTCTGCTCTGTGTAGCTCTTCCTCCAGTGACCAGCACAGCCTTAATCACTTTCGAGCTCAGCAGGATCCCAAGAGATGGACCAGGAGTGAGCAAGGTCCTTTGAGGACCCCTGACCAGCCTCATTTCTACTGCATTCTAGGTTAAAGCATCTTACAAGGCCAATGAGCTAAACTTCAGGGGTTGGGGTAATAGATTGTGCCACTTGATGGAAGGAGTTGCCGAGTCACATTACACATATCCTTACTCTGTGGATGCCATTTTGCAAAAAGTCTACAATGCAAAATCCTTATGCTGTCCACATAATATGGGAGTAATCAATAGAGTCTCTATGGGAATCAAAAATATACATCACTTCTCTTAACATTTGCTAATATAATCTATTTTACTGACAAGATATAGATAATTATTCAATGTAAAAATAGTACACTCTAGATCTAGATTTTTAATGCTAACAGTTTCTATTTACTGGCAACAAAGCATTTACTATGTGCCGGGCAGTGTCTCCAAACAGTGTCTAACCTATCACAAAAAGAGGTGGTTGTTAGAGGAGTGTGGAGTCGGGAGACTGACTTGGCTTAAATTCTGCTCTTACCACTTGTTAGCTACATCACTTGGCAAAACAATTAGCCTTGTTGCACTGCAGTTTCCTGTCTACGAGATGGGCGAATAATAATACATCTAAATTTTAAGGTTAACGAAAGGATTCAGTCTATTTTCAGTGCTGGTAACTGTACTCAGTGCCTGACGAGAGCTTTCTAAGAACCAGCTATTATCACGGTCATGGCCATCGTCCCCCACTGTGACCCTGTGACAGCTAATTTTATGAGGCATGAGTAATACAAACCCTATAGGTAGGTTCTGTTATTTTCTCCATTTTACAGATAAGAACACTGAAGTTCGGGGAGCTTGACTAAAGTCACAGAGGCACAATGTGGCAGGACCCTCACTCAAGCTGGTTCTGGAGTCTGGGCTTTCCACGCTCTAACAGCATGCCACGGCTACACTGTAACTGTAGCTTCCGCAGTAGTGGCCTGCAGGCCCAGCACTGACGTGTTTTGTTCTTTCCCCCACCACTGTCAGCATTTCAGAGAAGGTTGCTTTTCCCTGTTCATTGCTTTCCACTTGAGCAGACATAAAAGGCAGCTGCATTGTAGTTGAACGAACCTCCACATGTGCTCAACTGAACGAGGCCAGAGGAGAAGGGAGCTGGTGTCTACTGAGCGACTTTCCCATGCCAGGTCCCAAGATATACACTTGGCAAACCTCTCTTTTCATCTTCATAGATACCCCATTAGGTACCTATTGTCCTCATTCTATAGATGAGGAAGCCAGGGTTGAGCTCACCTCAGGCACGAAGGACAGGTCTGACGCCAAAGCTTTGGCCACTATGCTGAACTGCTAATTCAGTGTAAAGAAAGTCTATTGTGAATACTTTGTAAAGAGACTGTATAGTAATTGTTACCTGATTTGCTTGTTTTAGAAAGACAGAGGCTCTGACCTCTTCAAGGTGACCTCGTGCGTGGTGTCACTCTGATGAGTTATTCTGTTTCCTTCCAGAGGAGATCTGTACCCTAGTTATCGCTGAGACCTTCCCCGAGGATGCGGGGATCTTTACGTGCTCAGCAAGAAATGACTACGGATCAGTAACCAGCACCGCCCAGCTGATTGTCACCTCAGGTATGTGAGGAGAGTAAAAGTGGACTGGGTTCTGTTCCCTGGCACTCAGCGTGTGGTTCATCCCAGCACACAGAACTACCTCAGAGTAGAGCTCAGCCTTTAGGAATGCTTGCTGCCCCTCTAGGAGTTATCCTAACAACCAGAGTCTCCTCATGAAACAAAGGCTTTGGGGGAGGGGAGTGGAATTGGAGATGAAAAACAGCAAGATAATGACAGTGTAGCAGCGGAATACACATGGGGCTATTTTCTAAGGCATGTGACTTGGTCTTGGAAACAGTGGATCCAGTTTCCTAACATCATGCTAACCCAGAATCATGCTGCCAGTGGAGAGCCCCTCTGCACCAGAGGTGCGGTCTCTGTTCTCAGCAGTGCCAGCTGAAGCACTGGGACTTGTACAAATAAGTCCTCGTTTAAGCCACGATGGAAACTTCTGAAAAAGTAATACAAGATAAACTAATGTAACTCGGAGAAGCCAAAAAAGCCTTAGAAATCAAATTTCATTGAAAATGGGATGTAACTCTGATATGAAAAACTAAAGCAGTATAAGCAGTGTATTATACTATTAAAGCCAATATTCATAACTATTTGGACTTTTGTAAAAAGATTTTTTATTTACTTGAGAGAGAGAGACAGAGCTTAATTTTGGGGGTGGGCAGAGGGAGAGAAAAGCAGACTCCCCGCTGAGCAGGGAGCCGACTCTCAGGACCCTGAGATCATGACCTGAGCTGAAATCAAGAGTCAGACGTTTAACTGACTGAGCCACCCAGGCCCCACTGGAATTTTTTTTTTTTTTTTTTTAGCTCAGAAATGTACCACTAGCAAGCACAACCTGAAACAGCCTTTTCCTTTATTTTCTTTTAACTTTAGTTGACTATTTTCTGCTATTACTAATTAGCTTTATTTGAGCTTACTTTTATTGACTCATCACTGTTATTTACTTGAGAGTAGTTCTTAAAATAGTGCTTGGACCATTATGTGCCTGGCACATAATGCTTACAGTGAGGAATCAAGACATGGGATGGGCCATGGCTGCATGAGACAGTCTTGGGGAGACCAACCGAACTGTACTTTCATCTCTTTGGAAGAGTGAGAAGTTGGTGCTAGGTGGCAGCAGAGGCACAAACAAGACTGGCTTAAGGACATTAGAATGGACATTGTAAATGCTTTTTCGTCTTAATTAAGAAAAGAAAGGTAAAGTTCCCTGGATTGCTGATATGAATTAGATGCTCTGGTGCCATGACTGGAGCTGAAGGGCAGCAAGGATCCCATGTTCAATTCAGAGGTGGCTTGAGACTGTCCCATCAAATGGGCATCATGGTAGTGGGGTGCTCCAACAATGCAGCCAAAACTCTGGGATCTAAACATCAATGTGGCCAAGACTGGCATGCAGTATTTCCCATTTTCATCTGGGGTACCTCTGCTGTGGGCCCAGCGTAATCAACAAGTAGTCTTTGAGTTTTCAGCCGACCTCAGTAAGCATTTTTGAGTACATTCCAGGAGCTCTGTTGGGCTCTGGCCTGGGCTCTGGGCAAGGTGAGGAATCCAGGGACGACAGGATCTTATCTCAAGATGCTTTCAGTTTGTTGAGAATTAACGAGTCCATTTCCTTTGTACCGAATTACAGCCATGACAGTTATCTGAATTGGAAAAACATTATAGATGAGATCATAAGACATTTTACTTAAGTTCAGAATTCTTTCTTAGATTTAAATAGAATGAATATCCATTGCCTACCCCATAAAGCGTGTATCCTTTGATCAGTGAGGCACAGGTAGGAGGTTCATTCGGATCCACAGGATGCAATGTGGGCAAATAAAGCATTATTGGTTGATATTATCTGTGTGGTCATTTTTTTTTTTTTAAACCAACTTCTGTGTTTAGATCTTATGTGAAATTTTTTAATGAATTGGTAGCTGGTCTCCCTGTTTGTGGGCCCAATCAGGAAATGAAACAGGTAGAAACTAGTTTGGGACAACCAGACCTTTCAGCTGGCTTTGCTTGTGCATCATATGAGAGAGCAAAGAGTTCCCTTTTCTTTAACAACTTAAACTGTGTTTAACAAGAAGAGGGCACAAGGGATTCTCAGGTAGTCTCTGACAGCATGAAAATAACAGTTGAACTATAACATCTTATTATTTTTTCCTCTCCCCCGCCTTCCTTAGCCAACACTGAAAACTGTAACTATGACTCAGTGGGAGAATCCAACAATGATCACTTCCAGCACTTTCCACCTCCCCCTCCAATCTTGGAGACGAACTCCTTTGAGTTGGCATCAAAGAAACCGTCTGAGGTCCAGCAGGTGAACAGCCCTGAGTTAGGGCTCAACATGGCAGCCCTTCAAATGCAGTTCAGTTCTGCTGAGCGGGAAACAAACGGAGTCCATCCCGGCCATGGAGTAAACGGACTGATTAATGGCAAAGCTAACAGTAATCAATCTCTTCCAACACCAGCTGTCCTACTTTCACCCACTAAGGAGCCACCACCTCTGCTTGCCAAGCCAAAACTGTGAGTACTTCTGCATGGTTTTGTAATATTTTCCATACCCCTGCTAAATTGCCTTTCTGGCCAGGGAAAACCTGCCTGGACTCAGCTGCATGTCAGGTTTCCTTTTCTGTGGGCAAGCCATCCCCGGTGGGTGTGACCTTGCTAACAAGGTGGGGGTGGGTGTCCTTCAAAAATATAAAAGATGCCTAGAAATGAAGAAGGAAAATGAGAAACTTGGTTAAATCTACCCTTTGCTAAAGGCTCTAACTGGTTTCATCTGTACAAATACCTGTTCATGGTGTGGCCTTCCAATGTATAGCAAGGACGTAGCCACTCCCCAGAGGTGATGGGAAAGGAGACCAACTTTGAGCTCGCTCTTAATGTTTTAAATATATGTCATATATCTAAATATTTTATATCTAAATGTTTTAAATATAAGAATAAATAAGATTTAACTGTATCTAAAGGTTTTAAATATAAGAATCAGTAGGGAAATCTGATAGAGATAATCCTGGGAAGACGAAAAGGCTGAGGATGGAAATTCAGTGTGCACAACCTGAGGAGGGCAGTGAAACCAGAGATAACCAGGCCCCTCAGGAAGAAGAGCGCCCCTCACCACACAGCCTACTTGGCTTTGAAATTCCATAGAACTACTTATTTCCATGAATACTACCTTTGTATTTGATACCCATTATTTTCTTAGGATGATAAACCTCACATGAGCTGTTTCCGTTGGCACCGCACAGCCGGGAGTTGTTATGAATGGAACCATTACAATGTCAGAGCGCGGCAGAAATCAGTTAACTCAATAGGTTCTATCATAGCACAACAGACCTTGAATTACTGCCCTGACAGAGGTCGGTGGAGATGTCAGAGTCCTATAAAATGTATACATACTCCAGGAGGTCACGTTTCCATGAGCATGAATTTGCCAGAATCTAGGAGTTATTGTTTCCCCAGGACTGAACAGCCTACTCTCTTCTCTCTGTCATCAGCTCGTTTGTTAGAAATGTTAGAATGTGGAAGATATTTTCAATTAGAATATCTTGCATTTGTACGTCACTTTGTTTACTAAGGATTTCATGAGCCTGATTAGACTAATCAAATAAATCAGCCTCACGAATGTCTTCAGTTAGCAAATGGGTAGACAGTTTTAGAAGAATAAACTTTTGGATAATCTTGTGTTGCAGTTTCCAAATCTATCTCTTAATACCCTGCACTTAATTTTGCATATCAGTCAAGCTTGGTTTTCAGGCAGCGGGGCTCCTGGGTATGTATCCAGTGGTCTGAGAGATACCAGGTGAACACTGAACACCTGTGCCCAGCTCCACTGAGACACTTGGGCAGGTAAAACGAGCCAAGAAGTGGCAGCCTTACAAGACAATTATACCCTAGTAGCTCCAATCCATAAAATTAATTACCCCTGCTGACTCTTTTTAGCTTTGTATTTTGAATATGTATTTGTAGTGCTTTTATTGAAACGAGGGACCTGCTCTCTCCTCTCCCCGGGAGGACTTTTAATGATGAGGACTTGACTATGCTCTTGATTAAATGAAGTGTATCCACCGTAATGGCTGTCATAAATTGGATATAAATCACAGGAGAGCAAACACGAGGAGCTGTGAACAGGCATTTACGGCCCTTCTTATCTCAGGACTTTCAGCAGCTCATCAGCTCATGGCTGTGCTTCGTGGAGATGCTAGTGTGTGTGTGATAGAGGCTGGGTGTGTCTGCAAAAGAGAACAAGTTCTGTGTTTAATGAGAGGAGGAGGAGCTTCAGGGTACCTGGTGGCTGAGCCGGTTGAGCGTCTGACTCTTGATTTCGGCTCAGGTCATGATCTCAGGGCTGTGAGATCAAGCCCCCAAGTCAGCAGGCTCCTCGCTCAGCAGGGAATCTGCTTGAGATTTTCTCTCTCCTCTCTTTGCTTCTCCCCCAGCTTATGCTCCCACCCCGCACTCTCTCGCTCTCTCTCAAATAAATCAACCTTAAGAAAGAAACAAAAGATGAGTAACTTAAGTACAAATTTAAAGAGTTAACACTGTGATTTTCAATACAATATAATATAAGGTAGAGAAAAAATGGACCTTGGTGTTTAATGTCCATATAAAGGGGTTACTCCCTGCTTCATGAGAAAATTTAGGGAAAGGAAAAGCACCTAAATGCAAAATCTGGTAGCTCAGAAATAACATTACTTGTACCACTGTTTTACCACTGTTTTTTTTTTTCCAAGTCTTTATGTGCTTAAATATATCCATAGAGCATCACTTAATTTTTTTTTTATATTCTATTATTATCTGCTGTTTACTAGGTGGAAAATAAAATATGTGATGATGCTTTCAAAATACATATTTTAAAGTGTTCTTACTGGTTTGGTCTGATTTTCCACTCCTTTACTCTGTTCTCATGGTCTTTTCTGAAGAGGTTTCTCATTATTTTAAAAATGGTATCCATTGATAGAGGAGTGCTCTATCATTCCATGGAATGAAATCTGCAGTAATTCAGGATGGCCTTGAAGTTACGGACGAGGACCGCAGGCAACTGCCAGGTACAATTCTTCCACGTGTCTATTTCTTTTCTGACGTTGGGGAGAAAATGAGATTTTGCCTCTTACTGTTGGCAGTGAAAAAGTATGCATTGCTCTAATCTTTCTGCATGAGCCTGTGATTTTATTCCCTTTCATGAAAGGAGAGGCTTATATTTGGGGAATTTATGATGTTTCATTCTTCTGAATCATTTGTAATCAAACAAATAGGAAACAATTAGGAGGGGGAAAATCGTGGGATTTAAAACACTTACTCTTAGAATAAATTAACCCAAAAATCATATTTGACTTGTCAGATTCCTGAGGAAAAATCTCTTTGCATTTTTTGTCTCAATAGTTCCAATACTGATTGTGAGAAGAAAAAAAAAATCAAAGACTAAAGTGGAAAGATAGAAATGTCATGAATTCTTTTCTTTAGCAAAGTCCAGCACTGATCCCTTCTAACCCAACTGAAATCCTCACCAATAGCTTTGCAGACCCTCCCAGACCTCCAGCTGAATCTGCCCTACCTGCCTGAGGGCGAGTTTCCTGGCGTGGTATCTTGTCTGCATCCACTTCAGTTTCTGCATCTCTCAGTGTCTTTGTCTCAGATCCTGTCCCTCAACTGTAAGTTTAACACGATTCAATATAGGCCATTCAGTAAGTGCCAGATGCTAGGCACCCTGGATTTGTGACATAACTTTACCACTTGCAGTGGGAGCAGAAGTGCGCTTAGAACACTACCCAGGAAGAAAAATTCATAAACGAGAGTTATTTGTGTGGCTTAGTGTCTGATACTCAAAATGTTTTAGCACAGTGTGAAAAAAAGAAGCAACATGGTGCTTGAGTCATATTTCTTTCTTTCTTTCTTTTTTTTTTAAAGATTTCATTTATTTGTCAGAGAGAGAGGGAGAGAGAGCGAGCACAGGCAGACAGAATGGCAGGCAGAGGGAGAAGCAGGCTCCCCGCCGAGCAAGGAGCCCGATGTGGGACTCGATCCCAGGATGCTGGGATCATGACCTGAGCCGAAGGCAGCCGCTTAACCAACTGAGCCACACAGGCGTCCCTTGAGTCATATTTCTTATCAGAGAAAAAGAGAAAGGAATAAATATAAACCTAGCTTATGAACTATTTGTAACATTATTTTCCTTGTTTGGAGTGCACCAGATAAGTCTGTTGCCTCCCACTCTCTGCAAATTATGTCTGAAGATTCAAAATAAATATAGAGCTCAGTTTGTTAATAGGAAACAAAATCCCCACTTCTCTTTATTCCTGCCAAAACACAGTCCTTCAAAGGCATGGGATATGCATGGGATCCCTGGGAATAAACCCTGGAGGGAAACGTGGGAATGGCAAATGTAGTAGGTGATTCGCAAAGCATATAGGAAAGCATGGTTATGTTTTTCCCCTGAGCTCACCTCCTGAATTAGACCAAACAATATCTAAATAACATGCTGTTTTCAGATCTCATTTACTTCTTTGTTTTTTAATATTCTTCCAATCTTGTGGGAGGAAGGTAGAATATAAACCTGTGGAAGAAGCAGAATGAGAAGTCCAACGGGAGTTTTCTGAAGGGTGACTCAACAGGCAAGTCCTTGCCCCCAGGAACAGGAGAAGTCAGCCGATAAGATGAAGCATGTTTGTCTCCGCCTTGTGCTGCTAATACACACTTGAGCCTGAAAGTCTCTACCCTTTGACTAGAAGAATGATAATGAAAGGTTTTCAGAATTTTTAACACGCTTAATCAATAGCTAAGCTAGATAGAGATTTAAGTCTCCTTGCTCCTATTCTTACTTCTTTCTCTTCCCCTGGCCTCTAAAGAGAAAACAGCATCATCATATCCTATCTGAAAAGGGTAAAACGATTTCGGGCTAAATCAGGATTTTGGAAATAGTGGCATTTCACTACTTGTGTTTCTGTCTTTGTCCCTTCTCTCAGTCCCACCCTTAGATACCTACTTGCTCCTGCTGTTCTTGTCCCAAGAGAGCGGGGCATGTCCTATAAACTCCTTCATAGGAAGGTCCTGGGGATTCTGTGTATCCCAGCAGCGAGGTCGTGGACTGACAAAGTGAAGCTGCGTCTTCGTAATAATAAGTGATGATAAGTGGTGTATGCAGTCAGAGACCCGTCTTTTCACTGCCTGTGGGACTGTGGATGGTGTGTCGGAGAGATTGAAGAGGAAGAAAGAGCAGCCTGTATTTATCAGTGATGGAACTCTGTCTGGCTTGCTATATTTGGAAGTTCCTTAAGGTTTCATCCACACTTCAAGCACAAGTTGTTCCCTTGCTGGAATGTTCTACTCCCCAGAATGTTCTGCTACTAATAGCCGGCTCCTTCTTGCTTTCGACTCCCAGCTGCATGTACCACCTCCCCTGACCATCCGACCTAAAGCTAGTTCTCCAGCTGTTCTCCAATAAATCATCCTCTTTAGTGACCGCATAACGTGGAACTCTTTCTCATAGCTTCCTATTGACTTCTTGTTAGTGTGTGCCCTGCTTT